TCATTACACTGACTAAAATTGCATATGCTGAAGACCATTGAAATACCTTCTGACCCCCTATATCCCCGCCACTTTTCAATACAAAGTGATGTCCTTGGTCAAAACTATTTTATAAGCAAGACTTTGTATCATCACCTCCTCTGAATTTCTATCTCCCTTACCTCACAAACCAGAGAACACTATGCCAGTCTTAACACTTCTACATGTCTGTGTTATGTGACTAATTTTGTTTGAGTATGACCTGACACAAGGAGAGATATGTGACGTAAGACCTATTTAAATTATTCCCTATAGATGAATAAGGCCATCCTTATATCAAAATGTGTGTAAAGTCCAAATTTTTTATATATATTCATTTATCTATGTACTGAAAGATAGAAACAAGTGCAAAAATGATTATAATACTAACATGAAATACATGAAAATATGCCCACAGTGGATGATGAAGAACACCAGCAGGGTTACACCACTGTTACATCTAGAAGCAGAAGAAGTCATTTTAATTATACGAAAATAACATGATTAAATTGATAATTGTATGCAACGCCACACTTTCATTTGGGCATTTAGAAAAGGTTTTCTGAGTTCAGATTGTGCTCTTTACTGCAGCGGCCCCAATTTGTGATTCAGGATGATTTATTTTTAAATAACGTCCTTGCCAAATGCAGATTCTCATAATTTAATTTCAGCTCAGATGGCTCACAGCAAAGATGGAACAGCAGCAATTGGCTTTTATGAACAAAAAATATCCAAGGTAACAGCATTTTGATAACAAGCAAGATCTAATAATATGCCCACAGTAGAAAATGAAAAACACCAGTAGGGTCAAGTTACATTTAGATGAAGATGAGGTTTTAATTAAAACCAAAACAACACCATTAAATCTATGATTGTATGCAACACCTCACTTTAAATTGGATCATTTAGAAAAGGTTTTCTGGGGCTTAATAGATCAGATAATGGATACTTATTTTCTGTAGCAGGCCTTATTTGCGATTCAGGATGTTTCATTTTTTAATAAACGTCCTTGCCAAGTGCAGGTTTTTCAAAATTAAATGTCAGCCTCACTCTGTGCCTCCATCACATCTAATAATCTGTGATATCCTGTGAGACTGATGCTTTCTGACAAATCAATGCCTTGTCTCATTAATATGTCTCGTGTGAACGGTGTCTCACCTGGCAAATGCAATATGTCGCCGTCTTTAAATCCGCTCTGCCCTGATGTTTGGCGAAAGACTTCCAGAGCTTAACGGGATTTACCGAAGCTAAACGAAAACACGTAGATTTGTTTACACTACACTCGATTAATGTCAATTTGATATTCTAATAAAGTACAACATTACAAGTGTTTCATTAAAACCAACATCTCTTGTAAATAATTCAACCACAACAATTACAATAGCCACCTCATTATCCCGAAGTAATGAGTCAACGCTGCTGAATAAGATATGTGAAAATATGCAGAAACAAAGGCCGGAGCGAGTGAAATGCGTTTTTCAGCTGTTGCGTTTGGAGCCTAATTGGGGCGCTGAGGAAAGTTGCTGTGTGTGTGTGTGTGTGTGTGTGTGTGTGTGTGTGTGTGTGTGGTGTGTGTGTGTGTGTGTGTGTGTGTGTGTGTGTGTGTGTGTGTGTGTGTGTGTGTGTGTGTGTGTGTGTGTGTGTGTGTGTGTGTGTGTGTGTGTGTGTGTGTGTGTGTGTGTGTGTGTGTGTGTGTGTGTGTGTGTGTGTGTGTGTGTGTGTGTGTGTGTGTGTGTGTGTGTGTGTGTGTGTGTGTGTGTGTGTGTGTGTGTGTGTGTGTGTGTGTGTGTGTGTGTGTGTGTGTGTGTGTGTGTGTGTTCACAGTTGCCATACTGTAGGAATCAGCTAAGTGCTTCCGTCCAGTCAACGCTGTTATTTCTGACTTCAAAGCAGTAGGAAAACACTGTCCTTTACTGGAAGTGACGGGACGGGTGACAGACTGGAGATTATCAGCGGAGTAGAGTAACAGGATTGTGGTGACAGAGTGTGAGCTCGACACTCAGTCAGACAAAGATAATGAAATCTTCTATATTCATATGCTGGCATAGTGTTCAGTTCAGAAAATGAATAAGGACAAGTGATGAGAGAGGTCACAGGTTAGGAATTGAAGGACATTGACTGCATTTAAAACCATCTTTCTGTAAAGAAAACGAATAATGCTCATGTTCAGGTGTATATCAGTATGTAGTGTCTCTACTTTAAAGAGTCCTCTCCTGCTGATGTTCAGGTGTATATCAGTATGTAGTGTCTCTACTTTAAAGAGTCCTCTCCTGCTGATGTTCAGGTGTATATCAGTATGTAGTGTCTCTACTTTAAAGAGTCCTCTCCTGATGATGTTCAGGTGTATATCAGTATGTAGTGTCTCTACTTTAAAGAGTCCTCTCCTGCTGATGTTCAGGTGTATATCAGAATGTAGTGTCTCTACTTTAAAGAGTCCTCTCCTGCTGATGTTCAGGTGTATATCAGTATGTAGTGTCTCTACTTTAAAGAGTCCTCTCCTGCTGATGTTCAGGTGTATACCAGTATGTAGTGCCTCTACTTTAAAGAGTCCTCTCCTGCTGATGTGCAGGTGTATATCAGTATGTAGTGTCTCTACTTTAAAGAGTCCTCTCCTGCTGATGTTCAGGTGTATATCAGTATGTAGTGTCTCTACTTTAAAGAGTCCTCTCCTGCTGATGTTCAGGTGTATATCAGTATGTAGTGTTTCTATTTTAAAGAGTCCTCTCCTGCTGATGTTCAGGTGTATATCAGTATGTAGTGTCTCTACTTTAAAGAGTCCTCTCCTGCTGATGTTCAGGTGTATATTAGTATGTAGTGTCTCTACTTTAAAGAGTCCTCTCCTGCTGGTCTCTACTGGGACATGTCTCCATGCTTTAATGTTCAAAAAGCTCTTTATTTCTCTCATACTGCCTGTGCTGCAGCACCTCTTTTCACCCTCTGTCTGAAACCAGAGCCCAGTCTGCTCTGATTGGTCAGCTGGCCGTCTCTGTTGTGATTGGTCAACCGCTTAGAGATGTCCCGCCCCTTAGCCTATCACGTACAATGTGTTGGACCTTTTTAACTTTTGCCATTGTCAGGTCAACATTTGTCAGATTTGACTGAACTCTTTATAACGAGTGGAAACTGTCACAACCCATTGGTTTGAGGACTCTAGTTTTGAAGCATTGAGTTAAGTGTACTGGCTGTCACCATCTTTTTCAAAAGAGAGTATACTAACTACATAATGCTTTAACTGGCATTTTTGGGCAATCAAAATGTTACAATTAGCTTTCATGAACTGAAAACACACTGTAAAAGGTTTAAAACTGTAAGACACAAACAAAGAGAGCACCCAGACCGTACAACACCATGGAAACGACTTCTATTTGCCTCTAAATAGGATCATAATCACCTGTTTTTAATGTTATCTTGTATTTTCTGTCTTTATAATGGGAAGTACTGAATCGGTTCTAGCAAAGGTATAACTGTCAAGAAAAGTAAGTAGGGTACAGACTCTCGAAATACACTTTCTGCTCAACTTGCATATGTCTTCTGTATGGTATCTATACTGCAGCAATACAGTCGATTTGAGTTTCCGGGAGCTAAAACTTTACCATCAAATGGATGTGGGCCTTCAAAGAATATCTAAGGAGAGTGCTGTTTTGTTCTTAGTTGGTGCGATGCACTTGGGGAAACGTTACCCAGGATACGTCCTTTTGTTTTTGCAGAGGAAATATAAGGCTGTTTGCACCATAGGGGATGAGCTGGGAAAGTGACACTGAATGTGTTATTGAATTTTAAATAAGAAAAAGCATATTTAACTCAAGCAGAAGATGGAAACTATGAGGGGTTTGTCTCAGCATATAATAGGGGTTTCCAGGTGGACAAGAGGTGTTAATCACATCGATGACTGCACTGTATGTCTTGATGGCATTTTCTGCCGGGGTCATCTCATTAATGTTGTTGTTTACACCTGATATTTTTCTGCTATGACAAGACAACATCCTGCAGGAAAGGTTTGTTGTGTTGCTGTCAAAAGGTTTCTGACGGACACATACGAGTATGGTACTTGAGGAGGTACTACAGGATCATGAGGGGTTATAAGTGGTCTTCTTTAAGAGGTTTCAAGGATCTTTTAGGAGGCTTCAGGCTGTCTTTTACAGAGTCGAGGATATTGTACACACTGTATAATGAGATTTACATTTAAATTATTAGTTAACCGTTGGCATTTCACATGATCTTTTGCAAAAATGGCTGTTTCTTACATTTGTTCTGCTATATTGCGGACATAATGACACATTAACCTTTGTGTATTGGGGTGCCTTTGGCTTTTAGGGGCCTTATATGGAAATTCAGAGCTTTTTTCAATATGCTAACGATTTGTTATCCACCCTAACCCTAACCCTAACCCTAAAGCTAGCAACTGTGTTCATTGACTGAAAATAAAGACTAGACTGTTATGTGATTGTGATGTGCTATCGGCGACGTGTATGTAACGTGTGTTGTTTGCATTTTATTGTTCTCTTTTATCCTTTCGCCTCTATCTAGTTGTCTTTCATCCTTTCTTTATAACTAATGCTGTTGATGTATTGTGATTTTAAAAAGGTGTCTATTATCATCTGGCCGGGGACAACAGCTGGAAATGAGCAATGTTGGCTAAAGCTGCCCCATGTACTGTTCTTTGTGACAGTTGATTAATGAGGACTGTCCACGACACTATAAACAAATAAACTAAACTAAACACTTGTGGAAAACTAAAAGCTGACAAAAGCCACTTGTAGGCAGATTTTAAGGAGATTGTATTTGTAAAATGTTATTATGCAAGGATGTTCAAAGATTGGTTTCTCTGAGTATAAATGGAGGACGACCCTTCCTCTCGTTATATCAGTCTGTCTCATCCATGCATTTGTTTTCACGAGGGTTCTCCTGATATTGTTGCCAAGTCTTCCTGTTATCCAGTTATTTGTTTGCACTGGCTGATAATCCTGGTTGTATTTTAACAGGTGTAAGCTGTTGACGTACGCAGAGGACCTTCCTCAGATCTCCGTGGTCTTCATCTTCGTGAACGAGGCTCTGTCAGTGATCCTGCGCTCCGTGCACAGCGTGGTCAACCACACACCGGCTCACGTGCTCAAGGAGATCATCCTGGTGGACGACAACAGTGACAGCGGTAAGACCTTTCACAGCTCTATTAATATGATGAATTAATAATGGGCTTCTGAACAATAAGCAGAGGTGGGAAGTAGTGGAGTACAAATACTTCGTTACTGAACTTAAGTACATGTTTCTGGTATCAGTACTTTACTCCACTACTTATTTTTCTGAAGACTTTTTACTTTTACTTCTTACATTTTGAACACAAATACCTGTACTTTCTACTTCTTACATTTTGAACACAAATACCTGTACTTTCTACTTCTTACATTTTGAACACAAATACCTGTACTTTCTAATTCTTACATGTTGAACACAAATACCTGTACTTTCTACCTCTTACATTTTGAACCCAAATACCTGTACTTTCTACTTCTTACATTTTGAACACAAATACCTGTACTTTCTACTTCTTACATTTTGAACACAAATACCTGTACTTTCTACTTCTTACATGTTGAACACAAATACCTGTACTTTCTACTTCTTACATTTTGAACACAAATACCTGTACTTTCTACTTCTTACATTTTGAACACAAATACCTGTACTTTCTACTTCTTACATTTTGAACACAAATACCTGTACTTTCTACTTCTTACATTTTGAACACAAATACCTGAACTTTCTACTTCTTACATGTTGAACACAAATACCTGTACTTTCTACTTCTTACATGTTGAACACAAATACCTGTACTTTCTACTTCTCTCATTTTCCAAACAGGCTGGTTCCTTTAGTTTGAATGTGTGTTTGGTGGCGTGATCATTATTATTCAGAGTCATTGCGTGCCTATTGATTTGAACACGATCCGTGTATCCATCATTTCCTGGTCTTCTCTAAAGAAGAGGGACCAATGAAAACGTTGTCATGTTGCCGTTGTTCAGCATGGAAACATTCATTAGCTAACAATGACATTATTGTTCTATTAATATAAAGGGAGGTCAGGTACTCTTTAAAACAGCCGCTAGTTATGGGTACTTTTTACTTAAGTACATTTCAAAGCCCTCTTTACTTTTACTTGAGTAAAGAAGTTTAGTCAGTACTTCTACTTTCACCAGAGTATTTTTAAACACAAGTATCTGTACTTCTACTTGAGTAAAGGATGTGTGTACTTTTGACATCTCTGACAATATGTAGCTTGTCTTTGACCCCCTTCAAGCTTTTTATTTATATAGCACTTTTCATACGGCACGTGCAGCTCAAAGTGCTTTACAAAATGTCACACATCACAAGTTAAAAATAAACCACAAGAACTTCCCCTCAGATCAGATGTTAAGACCTTTACGGATACATGCAGCATACTGTAGCAACCACATATAACATTTTAACAGGTTTGGAGGTTAAAGGTATGATGATACAAATAAAATATAATAAAATAAATAATGATTCCTCACAAGACACAAGACTAAGAGAATTCATACAACAATATAAAACCCTATAAAAGAAAGTAAACATATATGTACAACAAAAATAAAAATGTGTTATAATTCTAAAAAAGGTTAAACGCTGAAAATATTAAAAGACCAATTTTAAAAAGGAAATGTTGCTATTAAAACTGTTAAAAGTTAAAACCCTTTAAGACCTATGAAAGAAATAAAACAATATAAAAGTAGGTACATAATAAGGACTAAAAGACCATTTTAAAAGGGGGAGGTGTCGCTAATAAATAGCTAATTTAAAAAGATGTGTTTAGCTGTCGTTTAGTGTATCCTCTCCGAATTCAAATCCTGAAACCTGTGGAGTCTATCTTTGTCTAACGCTGTAGGTCTGTTACTCAGAAGAGACAGTCACTATTTATTATTATATCATTCCTGGTGGAACATGAGCGTCAAACACAACTTGGTTAGTGTGATGTTTCTGGCCTCCTGCCATAGTTGTCGTTGTTGTTACGCTATTGTTTCCAATGCATGTTGTTGTTGGTGTGTGTGACTCAGTTTCTCATTGTGTGTTGGTTTGTGAGTAACAGTTGAAGGGATGGAGAGAAACCCCTGAGGGCGGATGATTCGTGAACACTGGGCTTTCACATAGCTTAGACAAAAAGAGGAGATAGAAAGGGATGGGATTTGTCTGGTCCTCTTTTCCGAACTGCTGCGTAAACTACAGTCTCCATGGTGATGTGGGCTTTATTTTTGCCTCCACACCATGACGCCCACAGCAGCTGACAACGCTCGGCTCCATATCCTAAAAGCTTTCCAGTTTTCAGAGCGAGGGACAATGAACTAGATTTCAGACGACACTTGGCCCTCCTTCACTTGGCACGGAGGAACAGGGCTGCCTCCCTCAGGCTGGAGAGGAGAAAAGGGCGCAGGAATAACATACTGAAAGAAGAAGAAGTGCAGGAATAACATACTGAAAGAAGACGAAGTACAGGAATAACATACTGAAAGAAGAAGAAGTGCAGGAATAACATACTGAAAGAAGAAGAAGTGCAGGAATAACATACTGACAGAAGAAGAGTCACCACTGGCACATCTCCACTCTACACTGAGGCTCTAACAGAACAGACTCTGTTAAAAGCCAGAGTATAAATGGACGCCAAACCTTCCTCTCATTATAGCAGACGGTCTCTTCCATGCAAGGGTTCTCCTTTTTGAAGGACAATCCTATTCTCACTATTTTCAAGACTCAAAGGAGGCGAGGCGAGGCGAGGCGAGGCGAGGCGAGGCGAGGCGAGGCGAGGCGAGGCGAGGCGAGGCGAGGCGAGGCGAGGCGAGGCAAGGCAAGGCAAGGCAAGGCAAGGCAAGGCAAGGCAAGGCAAGGCAAGGCAAGTTTATTTATATAGCACCTTTCAACACAGGGCAATTCAAAGTGCTTTACAAAAATGAAAGACATTAAGAAAATGGCATTTAAAAACAGTCATTAAAAAGCAAAGATAATAAAATAAACATTCAAAGAAAACAACTTTTGCAAAATAGCTACAGAGGAGTTCCTCCAATGAAAATCTAAGGCCCTCCAACAGTGCAACATACAATAAACACAACATACAAATAGTGTAAGAAGAAATGTAAATAAAGTAGTGCACGATAATGGTGAAGGGGACAAAATGTTCCAAGTAAAATGCAGATTCTTTCTCAATTTGAATAAATGTTATCTCTCCTCTCGTGCAAACATGTTATTTTTCTGTGGAAAAGAACTCCCACTGAAATCTGTTTTGAAAATGGTTTAGTTAGAACATCGGGTCACTGATTCTCTGACAGCAGGGGAAACTAAAACACTTTAAAACTTTTATATTCAAATGTTAAATGACAATGTGGAATTTGAACATAGTGAGCTAAAAGAGAAGTATTTCTGATTGCAGCTCCTCTAAGCTTTCCACAGTGTTTTACTATCTTTCAAATTCCTTTTTTTTAAGGTTTTGTCCCACAACGTTAATGTTTTGCTTCACTTTTACCAATCTCAAGTTTAAAACCCACAGTGCACCTCCTGCTCAGAACCAAACTGCAGACAGACAGTTCGTTAGCTCCTCTCTGATGAACATAATGGAGCATTCAGCAGCTAAAGAGACAGATTTCTCTCTCAGGATTCAGTGGAGAGTGATTAAAAGATAAAACGGTGGAGAAACCTGGTCTTACTTTCACCAAGTTGCCTGAAATAACTCCTAATAATTACAGTTATTGCTCTGTGGCTCTTAGCTTCACATTATCAACTTTAGAACGTGATCTAAAGTCAATCTGGCATTTATCGTTTGCATCGTCTCCAAGTGATATCAATGAATGCTGATTCAAGCATTTACAGAAAGAGAAAAACCCCACTGGACGAGGAATGAATAAGCATTGCAAGAGTTTTTTAACAGCCTTAATCAACCAATTAAATGTTGGATAGTTAGATCTTTAAACCGCAAAGTTGGCATCCCATTCCCACAAATTAAACCCTGGAGATTTACCTAATTTGCTTCAATTACACCTCAGGCATTGAATCTGTTATAATGAAGTTGTCACTAAGGTGTAGCAAATGAAAGAGGCCATATTATGCTTTTCAGGGCTCTCCTTTTCCTGTGGTGTGTTATATAGGTTTTGGTGCATGTAAATGGTCTGCAAAGAACATTAAAGCATCGAAACATGTCCCACTACAGAAACTACAAACTGATATACACCTGAACATCAGCAGGAGAGGACTCTTTAAAGTAGAGACACTACATACTGATATACACCTGAACATCAGCAGGAGAGGACTCTTTAAAGTAGAGACACTACATACTGATATACACCTGAAAATCAGCAGGAGAGGACTCTTTAAAGTAGAGACACTACATACTGATATATACCTGGACATCAGCAGGAGAGGACTCTTTAAAGTAGAGACACTAAATACTGATATACACCTGAACATCAGCAGGAGAGGACTCTTTAAAGTAGAGACACTACATACTGATATACACCTGAACATCAGCAGGAGAGGACTCTTTAAAGTAGAGACACTACATACTGATATACATCTGAACATCAGCAGGAGAGGACTCTTTAAAGTAGAGACACTACATACTGATATACACCTGAACATCAGCAGGAGAGGACTCTTTAAAGTAGAGACACTACATACTGATATACACCTGAACATCAGCAGGAGAGGACTCTTTAAAGTAGAGACACTACATACTGATATACTCCTGAACATCAGCAGGAGAGGACTCTTTAAAGTAGAGACACTACATACTGATATACACCTGAACATCAGCAGGAGAGGACTCTTTAAAGTAGAGACACTACATACTGATATACACCTGAACATCAGCAGGAGAGGACTCTTTAAAGTAGAGACACTAAATATGTCCTCTTTGAGTATTGTACAAGCTGTGTCTAAACAGCAGTAAGCTTAAAAACAACGATCCAAACTCTCATTTCAACTTCTGTCACATGTTTAGTAACCTTTCCTAGCATTAGTGTCCTGTGTGCAGTTCACTGACATCACGCTAGAAGGTGTGGACCTTTTTGCTGCTCACTTGTGCACGTTTAATGCGAGAACAAATTCAGGTCACTCATGCTAACCGACACGTCCGTCAGCGGCGCTAACTGT